AGTGTGATAAACAAAAGGAGAAAATATCTATACCTACTTCTGTTCAATTTGTTTCTGTATCGGGACTGGTATTCTCGGGAAGAGTGTGCTGAACCAGTCCAGTTTGATGAGCATCTGCCTCACCAGGGCTCCAATAGTGGTGGGGCCTCCGCCGCCCGCGCGCGGGTCGATATCCTCCTCATCGTCCAGGTAGTCCACATACCAATCAAACAGGTCCGCTGGTGGCTGGGTGTAGCGAATGTACATAAAACCTGTTTTAAACCATAACATCTCATTTATTCAAGTTTCAATTCATAGAATATTATTAAATAATAATTACTTATTCATTTAAAAATCACATTATCTCTCATTACTGCATGCTTTACAAAACTTACTTGCATTCTATTGAGCATCCTTGATGTCAGTTGTCCAGAAGAAATAAAATTTGATTTGACTACAGATTGAATTTAAAAATGCAAAGAAATTAAATGTAACAAACACAAATTTAATGTGGTAAACGGGTTAAAAACTTTAACAATAGTTCAATTTGTAAGGTCATTATTTCTTTAGCATGTTTTAAAATTTTATATAGAGGTTGATATATGAGATTATAACTCATTGAAAAAATGATATTTATTAGACAATGTTTGAATACCGGAATCAAAAAAAAGCCAATATTTTAAGTTGTTAAATCTTTTGCAATCCAAATGAGGTTTAAGCAGAAACATGGAAAAAGGCATATCAAGAACCATACCTACCGAGGGCTCTGATGTATGGTGAGTCAGAATGCTGCAGCAAGCCATTGACCTGCTTACGTGTGAGACGCAGCGTGTACAGCTTGTACAGAAGGCAGAATGCTGTTGACACTATGCCGCCTGCACCAACGCCTCTCACCTGCAGTCATATCCATACAATATTATTTTATACACTATATTGTTCACTTTGTTTATATAGATTAATGTAGTGTGAATAGTATTTATTCTTATTAAACTTAAAAGTCACATTGTAACAATAAAGAGGAAAATTTTGTATTTATGGATATTTACATGTATTGGAATAACTCAAAACTACTGGGATGATTACAAAAATTCTTTCACCATTAAAAAGCAACATTATTAGTGAGTAACATAGGCTATGCTTTTATTACTTTTTTTATTTTGATTGGTAGAAGTCTCCAGCAACAACTAGTTAGGTAATGATAAGCAATGAAAACAATAGAGGAGAGGAGGAAGGCATATGACATACTCACGCCGCCACACATGCCCGTCTGGCCAGCGGTCTTGCGGCTGCCGCGCTCCCACGGCTCCAGGTGCTTCACCTGGTAGTAGATCTCGTCCACTACCTCATGGTATGTCTTCAACTTGAACAGATGCACTGGGGACAATGTTACATATTACATACACATTATACTAATCACAACTTAAAACATCTTTAATGACTTTTTTGAAACAAACGAAACGTAAAATAATAATCATGGCGTGAATCCAAACTCCTGTGCGTTAGTATGTTTGCTTACCTACCTTTGAAGTAGCTAGAACCTTGGATGTTTGCTAATATTAAAGGATTCAGATTCATAGTTTGCTCATTACCCCATATTGGTAATACGTTATGCTGTTTGCTTGTTTTCGCGGGTTTCTGGAGGTTGCTCTCTGGAAAATAGGCAGTTTTAGTACAAACAGTGCACATTGATGAATACAATTCTTGATCTAAAACATACCTTCGTTTTCCGCCATTATAATATATATGACTAATACTTAACATTTATTTCAGAACGTCAAAGCAAAAGCACCATTTGCATGTTTTACTTCCAAAAAAAATACCGTAATTACGATATAAATTACATGCATTACAAAGTCACCAATTTGACACGATGTGACAGACGAAGCTTTTTTCATAGATAAAAATATAAAATGGCGGCTTGTTGTCTATGGATTTTTATTATTTCTAATCATTAAAATAAAAAAATACACACCCACAAAGCATTGGTTGATTAACGGATTAAAAAAAAAACAGATCATGACATGGGGACACTAATGTTAATGAACACAATTGTAGATGTAGGGTATGTTAAGATGAATAATAAATAAAATCAGCCAGGTTATGGACATATAAAGAAAAACTTTAGTTTAGAAACTTCTCATACCCATCTAAACTAGATCCATATTAAGAATTAAAGTATGATCTAAAGATAATGTAAAACTAATTAATGTAATGTAGCGCTGTTTGAATGGCTGTAAATTACTTTCCATTATTACACAAAAGGTATAAAAAAACAAAGGTTGGTACTTAAATTTAATCAAATAATTACAAAACTTATAAATATAATCAGTTGTAAGCCACTTATTGGTAATACAGCTCCAAGTTCATCCCGTCGTGGATTTCATCTGAAGTTTCTCTAAGGAAATTATTCCGAAACCTTGAACATAAAAAAAAACATAAGAAGGTAACTTCAAAAAAACAACAATTGTTATGAAATTTCAACTTATTTTACACTAGCAGTTGCTTGCGAATTCGCCCGCATGAAATAAAAAAAATAAAACAAAGTACAGCCTATGTTTCTCACAGATAAATTACATTTTTTGTGGTGAAAGAATTTTTAATATCGGGCCAGTAGTTTTTGTGTCAATCAAATACAAATCTTTCCTCTTTATAATATTAGTATAGAAATACCTTTTATATTTATAATCTTGTCTTGTTAAAAAAATCTATGTATACAAAACTAAAATCATAAATAGTAAAAGGATACAATCAGACAACTTGATATGGTCTTTGAAAACAGTGTACCATTTCTTCAATACAATTTTATCGTGCCTCGTTCCTGTTTGTGCTGCGATTAGTTTCTTCAAGTCTCCCACTGTGTCGTCTGGATTACATTTTACTCTTACCTTTTTACCTAAACGATCATTACATGTAACTTCTAGCATTTTCTCTTATTAAAATAGGTTATTTGTTTCTGTAACAATTGATGGTATTTGTTTATAATTTTGGCTGTTAGATTTATCGTTTCGTTTGACAGGTTTTGGTTGTCATATCATAATTTACTTTAATTTTACCTTATTTGTAAGATTTGCAAGTTGAAAAATATGGTATTGTCGATATCAAAGCAATCGGCTTTTGACAATTGCAATTATGACAGTGACAGTACAGGTAAAAAATAACAAAGAGCAAATACCGATTTCGGATATAATCTGTAATCAATGTGTCTTATTTATTATCTGCCTATGTTTTGACGTAAAGTAAATCAAAACATCCGGTTAATTTGTTCATTCAAATTACTATTTTCTTCTTCATTTTAGATAATTTTTACCACAAAATTTATTTCATAAAAGCTGTTTTTTTATTTAATTTTTTTAGATGACAATATTATGTTTCCAAGAAATTTTGTTTGAATTGGAAGTTTGTTTAACAGGAAGTAAATCCAACTTTCCACACGTCACTCGAGATCCGACCAACAAGTTCAACGATCAACGACAGTGAAATTTCGTTTAGTGATAGTGCTGTGACTTATTAGTGAAAATGCAAATTCCAAATGAATATGTGTCCACCGCAGAAGATGTGGCAGATCAGGTAAAATAAAGTGTTAAATACGTATTATATCAAGTAGCAATTTAAATTTAGAAATGTACTTAACATTTTACACGTCACGTCACTGAACAAGTTAGTGGACTGAATTTATTTTTCCGATTTAAAACACAATAACATCGTATTTCATTATAATTTCTTTATTGAGCCTATAAAGTAGTTAAGTTAAGTATTTTACATGTTAGTTATCATTTTTCTTATATGTCGAAGTATATTATATAGCCACATGAAATCACCTTTAAAAATATGTTTACCTGTATTTTAACGTCTACTTTAAAAAAAAAGAAACGATAAAAGTAAAATTATAATTCCAAATATATTTTTAGTATTGTATCGATTATAAACATACCTAAATATCTATTTAAATTAGTGATTATACAGGGGAAATAGAAATTATATGAGATTCCCTATCCTTAGACTTTTCAAACGCTACTTATGTTTATATCTGTAAAGTAAATTTAAGTTATTTAATGTAGATGATTATATTCCCACCAACATCTGTTGATACATATAGTAACATGTTTATTGAAACCATTCACAAATAATACAATAATTTTATTAGAGTTCCATAAAGAGAGTATATTTTAATGGAACTCTGCTTAACTGCTTTCTACATTATTAAAATTATTTATACTCTTTTCTTTTATTTCAGTAAGATGCATTCATGCTTTCTCTCAAACCTTATTCATCATCATCCCCCTTATCCTACTCCCGTAGGGTCAGCCCATCAGGATTTTTGCCCTCCAAATAACTCTATATGTCATCTCAGTCATCACTCCTTTTTTGACCATGTCACCTTTCACACAATCCATCCATGTCTTTCTAGGTCTACCTCTACCGGTGTACCCTTCCACACTAATAACTAACATTCTCCTTGTAACATGCAATTCATCCCTCCTGATAACATGCCCCCATGCTAACCTTTTACTCCTGACCTACCTGGGCTACTCTCAAACTTCCTCCAATATACTCATTATTCTCTCAAATATTATTATCAGTTAAGTATGATAGTATTACTTTAAATTCAATGCAAAGTAAGTAATTACTTAATGGACTAATTTGTAATGTATCAGTGTTACTTAAATGTACAGTAAATTAAAAGTAAAAGTACTTAATATTAATGTGTAATTAAGTGCAGAATAACTGAAAAAAATTAGATAAACAACATTTACTTTACAAAATTATAACTTATAAATATTTCGTTTTTTCATGTTACACTTAACCCCTAACACGACAGATATTTTAGTAGCAAAAAAACTGATTTTTTATTAAAGTTTCTTTTGTGAATGTGATATGAATGAAATCGATTTTTTAAATTAGTTGTTTGTTATACTGGACACTATTGAATTAATAGTAAAATATTTTTTACATGTTATTAGATTAGAAATAATGATGTAAGTTATCATTACAATTTATTACTACTTTTGATATGTAAGCGTGAATGTAATTCTGTTTTTGATAACAATACTGTTATCAGATGCCTACTGTTGTAATTGCTAGCCATTTAATTTACATAAATTTATTGAATAAATGCATTTTTAATTTGTCCAGATATAGGCAGACATGGATACATCTTATGTACAATTTTATTATACTTTATAAGTATTTAAAAATAATTCCAAAGGCATATACACTTTATGGTTTTTTTATAAAGTATTTTTGCTTCAACTCTACAGACTGCTTTAATATAAAAACTTTTAATAATTATTGTCCCTATATCCTTAAGGTTGACTAATTTGTTCAGTGAAATATGAAGCAACTTTTTAATAATGTTCTGATCAATTAAGAATTAAAAGTAATTTATGAGGCAATTTTTTTGTACATTTGGAAATTTATATATTGTATTGCATATTTGTCTTCACAGGTTATACGTAAAGGCAAGAATGTGTTGCCAACAGTTGCACGACTATGTCTCATATCCACATTCCTGGAGGATGGCCTCCGGATGTGGTTCCAGTGGTCAGAGCAGCGGGACTACATGGACATCTCATGGGGGTGCGGCAAGTTCCTTGCTACCATGTTTGTTGTGAGTTACAATTAATATATGTATATTTCATACAATCAGCTGAACTAACTCATTTGAATTGACTATCTGATAAAGAGATACATCTTTTATAGAATGTCTTGAAAATTGTAACTTTTTTTCCTTTTATTGGTTTGAAATATCTAGGATATTTTTGTTCATAAAATAATGATGACCTTGTAACTTGTACATAGTACAAATTTAAATCTTTTTGTAGACACTATATTATAAAAGTCCCCTTATTATCATAGCACATAATTTTAATTTAACTAACAATGACTTGACAAATAATATGAGTGACATTTTTTTAGTATATGACATTTGTAGAGAGTCATTTTGCTACTATACAAATCTTGCAAATCATAATGAAAAGAATATTTAATTCTATATGTTGCATAGCTACTTTATATCTTCAAATTTTAAAGTCATGTACTTTTTTAGTTTTTGTTGATGTTGTTTGATTGTCTTGCCAACATTATCCTACAAGTAGGGTTGGCACATAATTGTCATTCTCCAGATTGTCAATTAACATTACTAATACCATATGTTATATAGATTGCGATATTTATAATGCAAATTATTATGGCTTTTCTAGTAACAATAGTTCTATGCATTCTTAGCAAGTACCAGGAGTATATAACCATACCAGTTTTAAGGCATCAACCTTCTTATCTCCTTTAAACATAAATATATAAGCTTTAGCAAACTAATTAGTATGTTCTAAGGTAAATAATCAGTAATGATATGTATTTCCTCTTTTTCCTTTTTATACTATTGTTGTTTGGAACGATTCCTGCGACACGGCAGACCGCCAGGTACCATCCTCACCATGTCGATGGCTGGCATTCCACAACCGTGCGGTTTTCGCGGAACTTTCTGCCCCGCACAGCCGCGTTGTGGAACGATCTGTCCTCGGCGGTATTTCCATACCAATACGACTTAGGGTCCATCGAGAAGCGGGCCTATCATTTTCTCAAAAGCCGGCAACGCATCTGTAGTTCCTCTGGTGTTGCGGATGTCCATGGGCGTCGCTGACCACATCGGTGTTCTCGCCGCTCGTTTGTCCCCTTTTTATTATATAAAAAAAAACTATAGCAAAATATGTTCCTTTCTATGTGTGTGTATATATATATCTATGTTACTTGTTAACCAAATTGAACTGTAGAAAAGTATTACAATCATTATGTAAATGGTTGGGTAATCGTCTGAGATACGTGGTCGAACCGCAGCTCGGCTACAAACTGGTTGTCGCTTGAACGTGTCTGCTGAACCCGACAAGGGCCGCATACTCACGTAATATCGAATATTACGTTATGCTACTGTGAATTGATAGTGGGTGGAGAAATTGATCTTATCTTATTACTAACGTAAATACTGATGTTTTAAAAGATATATAGATTTGAATCTGGACTGGATAGAACTGGAATGTATGGAAATATCCTGACCCAAAAAAAAGCTTTGTATTCATTTTCTAACTAAGAAATGTTCTAACAAAATTTTGTACAAATTTGTTGTTTTTGATATGAGAGATTGTGTTGGTAATTTACGTAAAAAAATGGACTGTTTTATAGATTAACTAGCTTTCGCCCGCGACTCCTATCACGTGGAATTAAAAAAAAAACAAAAGTAAGTAGCCTATGTGTTCTTCCAGACTGTCCTTTACATCTATGCCGAATTTCATCGAAATCCGTTCAACCGTTTAAGCTACAAAATCTAACAAACATCCATCCATCCATCTAAACTTTCGCATTTATAATATTAGTATGATAGTATGATTGTTGCATAAAGTAAATATATGTTAAAATGTAAATATATGTCTATCATTGACTTTTGGTATTGATGTTCCTGATTGAATACAAAATTAAGTAAAACAATAAAGAATATATTAGTTTATTGGGGATTAGCATATTTAAAATGCTTTTTTGTATGACCTCAGTTTACATTTGTTATAAAATATATCACTTCATTAGAACAAGGTTGAAAATCATTACTAATACATTTCTGTTTCCTTTTATGTGCCACTTTTCGCCTTTGAACTGTCAAAAACTGTTTTGTGTAGGAAAAAGCCCTCTGTTTAACAATATTATGATGCATTTATGTTTGGCAGCTTGTTTGTGAAAGTATGTGTGAAGAAAGCGAGGCAAAGAAAGTTTTCAGTTGTAGAGGGCAGTGTCTAGTCGCCTATATTAGTGTGGTAAATGCGGTAGTAATCATACTTACTAATATTATAAATGCGAAAGTTTAGATGGATGGATGTTTGTTAGTTTGTAGCCTAAACGGCTGAACGGATTTCGATGAAATTTGGTATAGATGTAGAGGATAGTCCGGAAGAACACATAGGCTAATCATTTTTGTTTTTTTTTTTTTATTCCACGCGGGCGGAGTCGTGGGCGAAAACTAGTCTATAAAAGAATTCACGTACATTCCGATAATTGACGAATTACAAATGATAGATATTATTGGGTTTTTAATTTCATTATAATGTAATTAAATGTTTTTACTTCTTAATTATTGTAGCTTATAGTTACTTGACGCATTTAAGTGTTTTTTTATATATTTCATCACTATACGTAAATTGTATAAAACGCAGGATTTTATTCAACTAGTTTGTTAACTAACTTGTATGAAGACGGATAATATTTATTATTTATGTTCATACTGGCTATCGCCAACGCCTCCACTAGGAATTAAAAAAAAATATAAGTAACCTATGTGTTCTTCCAGACTGTTCTACATCTATGCCAAAATAAATCGAGATCCATTCATCCATTTAGGCTACAGCCTAGGCCATGCTTCGATCTAAACTTTCGCATTTATAATATTAGTAAAATAGAAACATGATATAAGAATTGCTCTCGTATGTTCATATGATGACTCGTATATTTTTTTTATTATACAACATCCGATAATAAAACATTGAATATGTTGATGAAACATTTTATAAGCATAAAGTAATGAATAATCATTGACTATTGGTGAATATAATCTACATAATTAATTGTCAAACAGTCTATCCTGTCTGCCTTGACCGGAACACCTAGTTTAATAACGTGTTCGCGAAAGATGTTTACACAAAAATTGTCTGGCGCCAGTATCGCAACGCGCCAATATTCCGATGTTAAGAAACAAGTTTGAAGAAATATGATTTGATGAAATAATTTTTAAACTCATCTACACAATTATTAAAAATTGCGTTTCACACATTTTTCATAATGCCATATTTATTATCTGGATAAGTAAATAGTAATTTCAAAGGTTCTTTAGTATAGATTTATCATATAAAACACTATGGCTATCAGAGAGGCAGTTAACTAATATTCAAAACGATCTTTACTCTTCCTACAAATTTTCACTTTTATTAAAATTAAATACTAGCTTCCGGCCGCGATTCCTTTCGCGTGGTTATTAAAAACAAAAGAAAGTAGCCTATGTGTTCTTCCAGACTATCTTCTACGTCTATGCCAAATTTCATCCAGATCCGTTCAGCCTTTTAGGCTACAAACTCTAACAAACATCCATCCATCCAAAACTTTCGCATTTATAAGTAACGAGCTGTTGCCCGCAACTTCGTGCGCGTAGTATTAGAAAACATACGAACTATATAAATTACAAATAGCTACGTATCCCTCGGGAACCGGACATTTCTCGGGGATGAAGCTTATCCCATGTGTACTCCAAACTTTTTTTATATCTGTGCCAAATTTCAATAAGATATGTTGAATCCATCCATCCATCCATCTAAACTTTCGCATTTATAATATTAGTAAGATAAGTAAGATTTTTTTTAGATTGTTATATTTTTTTAATGTTGGTAGCATCATTTAAACCATATTGGTATGTAGTGTATAGACGGAAAGTAGGTCGAGGCGAGTATGTCAACGAAAGTGAATGTGGCCCGCTCTTCAATTTCACTTGCGCGTCGTGTACTCGGTAAGTGATTTGAATTAAATGCCCGCAAGCATCCGGTTTTTTTTTTTACCTAATGACTGTCGTCACATAGGTGTAAAAGTAATTCTATATATGAATGAAATACGAATATTTTAGTGATTAGACCAAGATTACTGACCTTACTAATATTATAAATTTGAACGTATGTATGGATGGATGTTTGAAGGCATCTCTTAAATGGCTGTACAGATGCCCATGTAATTTAGTTGCAACGAAATAGACAACTTACCATTTTTATAACTCCGAGCGGACGAACTCGCGAGCGACAGCTTTATAGAGATGGAAATACGAGGATTTGAAGATATAAAATTACTCAATTGATCTTATTTGAAGATCTAAATTCATTTTATTATAGGGGCAGATTGATGTATTCATTTAAAGATTGAATTCGTGTTTTGTACTCCAATAAAACTACATCCGACGCCAGGATAATGTTAATTCATTTCTTTGTTATTTATTTATGTATATGTTAAAATTTAAATATTAAATGCACGTATTAGAGTGTATCAGTAGTAATTTATTTTAATTCATTAAGATGCATTGGATTTGTATCAATGGGTTAGAGAAACGAGTTGTAAGATTATCTTAATCTTGTATTTAACATCTATTTTGTAAATTAGATTACCGTAAATAAGCGTATTTATTTGAATATATACGGCAATCGGTATAACAAACGTTTGTAACTAAAAAATAAAAAAAATGTCTATAACCTATGTCTTTGAATCATCAACATACCCTTATCCCTTACGGAGGGTCGGTACAGTATGTGCTTCCATACATAAGCCGTCATATCTGAATCCACTCCTTTCTTAAGCATATCTTTCACACAATCCATCCATACTTTCTTCAGTCTTCCAGCTTTGTAGCCATCCACATTCAATCTTAACACTTTCTGGTTTATGTCTCCGTCGTCTCTTTGCATAACATGTCCATACCACGCTAACCTTTTGCTTCTAAATTTCTCCACCGCTGGCGTTACTTTCAAACTATGTCTTTGAGTAATTTGACGATCTTCATTCGAAGGAGGAAGCGGAGTTTGTATCGTTGCAAGATATCAGTGATTTTTTAAAAATGGAACTCCGCAGATTTCCGCTTCTGTACAAACGAATGTATAAAAATCTTTATGTAGTGTAAAGTGAATATAGGTCATTTGCCCATTTTAGATAAAAAAATATTTTTTCTTTCTTTTCAGATAGTAAATTTAGTAGGTCAGCTGGGAGGCTGTGTGATGGTGCTCGGCAGACTGAAGGTTGACATCGCTTGCGGAATATTATTCTTCATCGTCGTATTGCAGGTTATTTACTATATACTTTAACCCAGTTTCTCTTGTATCAGTTTACTAATATACGTTCAGAAGTAAAAACGTATAAATAAATATTTGAATCATAGATTCGCAACGGAAAAGTATATAAAAAATAGATACAAGTCTGTCTGATATAAATTACTGCACCTTTGTTTTTTCCACTGACGCGTTCTTGGCGCGCATTTATTGTATCCGAGTCAAATGTCACGGAGATCGGTGAAGCCAAATGCGCATCAGTACTACGTACGCAGAGTAAACACGTCCCGACTGCGCCCTTCGGTAAGGTCGTTCAACTTGGAAATATCATCTGCCACGTTTTCTATTAGTCAAGTTGAGATTTTGTTTGACGTAAACTTTTAAACTAATATGAAAGTTACACTCGACCTAAACTTTATTGTATTAAAGACTAGCTGTTGCGTACGAATTCTCCCGCGTGAAATTATAAAATAATAGAAAATGTAGCCTATGTTAATCAGAGACAAATTATCTTTCTAACGGTGAAAAAAAAAATTAAAATAGGCCCAGTAGTTTTTGAGTTATAACAATACATACAAAAATAAAAATCTTTCCTAAATAAATCTATAGTTGTCAAATTGACGATATTCGCACTTTAATTGCAGGGAAAAGGTCTCGTCAATATTAAAACAATTTATTTTTCAGACTTTCGCATACAGTATACTATGGGACATGCAGTTCCTCCTTCGTAACTTGGCACTAATCGGCGCGCTGCTGCTGGTGCTGGCGGAGGCGCGCGCGGAGGGCCGCAGCCTGTTCGCGGGCGTGCCCAGCCTCGGCGAGAACAAACCCAAGACGTACCTTCAGCTCGCTGGACGTATACTGCTCGCGTTTATGTTCATAACACTGCTCAGGTTCGAGGTCTCCTTCTTGCAGGTAAGATACCTATATTTTGTCTCTTTTACACTTTTTTCTTTTGTTCGCGGTTTCTACTAATTGTTGCACACGACTTCGCCCGCGTTTAAATAAAAAAAACATAGCCAATGTTAGTCACAGATAAATTACCTTTCAAATGGTGAAAGAATTTTTGAAATCGGCCCAGTAGGTTTTACGTGAATCGAATACGTACATTAAAAAAAAATATTTCCTCTTCTTAATAATAGTATTTATTTTTCTATATTCTGTATTATCTTGAGAAAGCTTTTTCATATAAATGGTTTCATAATTGTAGGGAACATTAGTGTAAGTATAAAAATAAATGTATGACGTAATTGTCTTCTATTTATAGGTAAATCTCTAGAAACTCATTGTTCTGGAATAATGTGAATTAACATTTAATATTCATTGGCTCGTAAATAATTGAGATGGGCGTTCATATTTCCATTTTATGAATTATGTATGCTTTACAAGCTTGATATTTCTATAATGAGAGAATTAATTGAACAATAAACTATGTTAATTTGACTCAAATATGAATGTTCCAATCAATTTCAGTTTTCTGAAAGAGAAAAAGGAATTCTAACTTTTTGGGTATTTTCGACAGGAAAATTTACATTTATGTTTTGATCTATCCGAGAAACAGAAATTTAGTTGTATTCTAAGGTAATAAGTAATAATAAACAATATTAAAACAACTTTACTTTTATGTAAGGCTTGTTATCACAGAGTTACTAAAAATAGAATGTCATCTATTAAAAAAAAAATCAAGACAGCCAATGATGTAATTTCTCAATTTTATACAAATTCACTTTAGTAAGATGATACTCTTTGATGGTTGTATTTGTAAACTGACATTTCCATTGTTCCAGATAATCCAAGACTTGCTGGGGAGCATCCTTATGATCCTGGTGACAGTTGGCTACCGCACCAAGTTGTCTGCGCTGATGCTAGTGCTTGTGCTGACCGTGCTCAACTTGTACCACAATGCGTGGTGGGCAGTGCCCTCCTACAAGCCACTGAGAGACTTCCTCAAATACGACTTCTTCCAGGTATGTACTTTTACTTGTAGAAAATAAAGTGATGTAATCATATTTTCTTTTTTTGAAATCGTCAAAGATTAATATGAAACTCTTGATAATAGCATTTTATGAATTTAATACACAAATATTATTAAAAAAAAACTTGTTCAACATGTTCACTCTAAATTCTATAATCACTAGACGTGACATAACTAATAAAACTACTCTTTATAATTTCGTAGTTCACTGTAACATTTGTCAAATCATACAGATCCCCTAAAAATGTTTAAAAATGTACAATATGTCTGCTTTGATTTGTATTATATTAAAACTAGCTGTTCACGACGCCATCTGCCCAGACAAAAAAAACGTAGCCTATGTTTTCCAGATTAGATTGTATTTCTATGTCAAATTTCATCTACATTCATTTAGCAGTCTAGAAGATATCTTCTAAGAAACATCCAATCCATATTTTCCTCTTTGTAATTTAGTATCATCTATGATTTTTTGAGTGAATTCATTAATATTAAGTGAAAATGTTTGTTGTTGCAGACATTATCAGTTATCGGAGGTCTCCTGATGATAGTGTACCTGGGCCCCGGCGGTGTCAGTATGGACGAGCACAAGAAAAAGTGGTAGTGGTCTCCGCAGGAGCTCAGTGCAATGACTTTTGATATTATATATAAGGTTGTTATTTGGTGCCGTGGCTCTAACGATGATAATTCTCTGGTGTTGTGTAAATACGAGAAATGTAGCAGTTTGTATGGGTGCTTCATACATACATACAAATTTGAAGAAATTTTATATATCAATTGCACCATGTCTAATGTAAGCACAATTATTTCTTTGGTTTGTAAATTCTTCTTGTCTTATGTGCATACATTTGTTTATAGATGACAATTATTATTAAATCTGGATTTGCTATGTGTATACATTGTTAATAATATACATGTATCTAGTTGGACAATTAATTGTAAATAAAAAACGAAATGCAAATGATTTGTGTAAATTTCATTTTTCCCTTTACAATTAAATGATCTCAAAATTAAATGCTTTCTATACATAATACTGTTTATTCCAATGTATACACATATCTGATAATCTATAATTTTTTTTAAATTGACCGTAAATGAAATGTGGCACCCATAAAAATATTTGAATATGTACCAGAAACTGACTGCAATAGTAAAAATCAAATCTTATATCATTTAATAATGTTTTGTCCTCGCTTAATGTTTTTATCATGCTTATTTACTGATTCTGTAATTACAAGTTTTGACAATATCTCCCTAACAAATGACAATTGGTGATAAGTTCGGAATAAACCAGCAAATTCAAGACTGGTTGTGTATAGTTTTGATTTGAATGACCTAAAATCTATTTAATTATTAAAAAGGTGTATATATGTATTGAAAATTAATAGGATATAAATCATTTTAACATTCAGCAGTGATATACAGGATTACATTTTTAGGTATAAGTGTATCTGACAAGAATAGTTTTAAATTTTCTTTATCTAGATTCCTTATGATTCATTCATATGGACATTCCAAAACTATAAAAGATGGTATAAGCTGTTCTGATAACTGATCAGTTTTCTTTACAGTCTTCATATCAAATTAAAACTTGAATAATATAGAATATCCATAAGAGCCTCTGGCTGGTAGTGCTTTTCCATTGTAATAATCTGATTGCTTTTTATAAAATAAACTTTTATATTTATTTCGAAAGACAATATTTTTATAGTATTTTTTTTTATTAAATAAACACCATTTGGTCGTGACGAGTCAAATTCCTAAACGAAAATAAATTTTTTAAATCTATTAATCTTTGTTTTATTTTATAATATCTAATTCAGAGTTATTTTATAAGTTAAATGAACATCTTTTATATAACTGATATATTTGTAAAATATTTAAAAATAAATAAAAACCGACATCTACTTGTAAATGTTTTGTGATCTACTGCTCCTTGGCTTTGGCGTGCGTTATATTCTTATCCCCTATGTATTTGAACACTCTGTTGGCTAACTGTCTATACTTCTCTGCATGTGTGCTATCGGGTAATGCATATATCGCTGGCTTACCACTATTTATGCATTCAGACATATTGGCATCAACTTCAAAACTCTCTATAATATCCAAGCGCATCTCATTTGCAGTCTTCTTTGTTTCGTTGCCGAATATAAAGTTCTTTGTTCCACATTTTGAGCACATCGCATGGGACATGTTCTCCACAAGGCCGATGATAGGAACTTTTAACTTTTCAAACATATTAACACCGCGTTTAGTGACTTGTAGGGCGGCTGATTGAGGTGTTGTTACAACAATTGCACCTTAAAAAAATAGTTACAGCAAATTCAATTTAAAATTTAGATATCTGAGAATGCTTGAAATACAAAAATTTTGAGATACTTTAAAGCATGTATCTGTTAAAGCCACAAATGTTACTTATAGAATAAAAACATTACATTGGAATCTATTATTTCTTGTACTCACCATCTATTGGCAAATTCTGTGCAAGTGACAAATGCGTGTCTCCCGTGCCGGGCGGAGTATCGACAATGAGACAGTCTAATGGGCCCCATGCTACATGTCTCGTCAACCTGTCCAGTGCCTGCATCACCATCAGCCCGCGCCACACCACCGCATTCTCACCGGAGACTAGAAGACCCATTGACATACTGCAAAAAATATCATTTATGCTTCAAACATTCAATACTTCAATTTAGTGCAAAAATATTGCTGATAAAAAACTTTATATTGTCATTGTGGTAAAGAATTCTCAAAAAGTAACATGGGAAGCGTAATTACCAAGTTTATTTAAATTTAAAACAATTTTTTGTTACTATTTCTTACTCTAACTAAAATTTGAAGGCCTGTATACATTTGCATAAAAACAAAGACAATCAACAAATTTTACTTTAAACTAACTAACTCCCACACTTAACAAATATCTTTATGTAAAAATTCAGTATGAATTACATCTAACAGGTGACTTAAATGGGCCATTTCATAATTCTATATCTGACATATAACAATTGTTTACATTTCTCATTAACTTGTTACATTATGTAACAAGTTAGCATGTAAGTAAGCAGTAAGCAATCATACCACTTAACTCCATAGTTGAGTAGGGGCTCAATGAGGTGGTTATCATTCAACATAGGCTCTCCGCTAATGTTCATCATCAGAGGCACAGATGGTCCAAATACATCAGCATCTAACAAACCTATCTCTTTGTCAGGCTCTATCACCTTCATTGCACATGCTAGATTTACTGCAAAATTAATCAAAACCCTTTAAACATGTAATTATTTAAACAGGGTAAAATAATTAATATAAAATTCAACTATTCAAAAGTTAACATTACCAAAAAAATGTAATCATTTTCTAATATGATATATTTGAAATTACATTATGTATGTTAGCATACATACGTACCAGCAGTTGTTGTTTTACCAACCCCTCCTTTACCTGATGCAACAAGAATTATACTTTTAACACCAGGTAAGGGTTTCTTCTCTGGCAAACCTCGCGCCATTACTTTCTTTTTGTGTTCTTCAAGATCATTCTTATCATGTTTTAGTCGAATGGATAAAACAGAAAACACCTGAAATATCATTACATACATTATTAAATAATCTCAAAAACAATTTTTAAAAACATTAAAATGATTACGTACATTTTTGGTGTTTGTTATCAAAGGCTGCCCGCAAACTTTGTATATCATTCTTTGCAGATTCATCTTGAAGATTCTACAAGTTTTTAGTTATTTCAAATATAAAACTTCGCAATACAAAAAAGTCTCCACTATTTCGCTTCGCAAAGTTCTAGTTCTAATGTCAATGTCAATGTCATTGTAATTTTTTTTTTACATTTGGTTTTGTAATCGAACGTAATCGTACGGTCAAAGAAGTTATTTTTAAACTTTTTTCCTTGACGAAATCCAAAGTGTTATTTTCTAAAATGAGTGCTTAATATAGATTTCCTTATTTTAGATAAGCAATCAACATTCTAAATAATTTGCTTAGCATATAAATCTATTTTTTCTAATTCTTCTATTGGATGAACAATCAAATGGTTTTTGTATTATTGTTCTATTGGAAATTAAAAATCAAACTGTCATGTGCGGCTCTTTTCTATATTTTTCGACGATGAATTTTGCCAAAGCGAGTATTTCGTGATTTACCTAGGATTATAAAGTTGTCACTAATTGAATAAAAATGGCTATTTGCTTGCGTACAATTACAAACAAAGTTTTGCCTATAAATGGCATCTTTTCAACCAGAAATCATTCCAACCGCTTGTCTCGAAAAATACCAGTGCGCACAGAATTTTTGGAAGATGTTAGTATTTCTTAACATATAAGTACATTCAATAGTCAATTTCGATACAATTTTTGCTTAATTAAACTAAATACTAGACTGTGATCTTTGGTTATTATGTGACCTCGAAGTGACAGAAAAACATTTTTCTTTCTAGTTCCTGGATCATCGTCGCATCTCCAGCTGCCAACATGCGGTGAAGTGTGTCTCAGAAACCAACGATCCTTTTGATCTTGCTGCGGCAAATTTAGTATTACCTCTAAAATGCTCTACAAAGCTTGAGGCGACCAAAACAGATGTTAAAAGAGTTGGTTATGAAGTAGACGATTGCTTAGGAATGAAGTCTTTAGCTTTAACCTCTGATGATTACATAGAGCAGAGAGCTATTCCATATAATTTTAATGACATACCATATAGCTTAAATAACATTGATTTTAGTAAATACAATGAGGTAAGTTTGCTCTTTTAAAATCCAAACATGAGTTTTTTTCATAGCTGGGAATTCAGATATGATTGCTGATAGAGATATATGACCTAATAATTAAAAAAAAAGGAAAACAATTTATTTTAATTCAACAATATATAGAAGGTAAAGATCATTATTTGTGGATACAATAGAAATTATCTGTAGTAATCAGTATACCCGCATTAGGCACAGCCTGTATCGCGAGGGTCCTGCACTTAAGATTTAGTAAACATTTGTTAGACTATTTGTGATTTATATTTACAAATCTATTTAAATGTATGGTACTGGAGACTTTTTTCTTCAATTTTGTTCAGGATTTAGAACCCACCTGCTTTTCTGAGTTTGAGAGACATGCAGTTGCCTACTGCACTGCAGCAACCACATCAATGACTAAAGCACAGTCTACCAGTGAGGGGAACAGAGACGGAAAACCCAGTGAGGAGCAACTGACTAAAGTGTTTAATGTGCTTTCTACAACTGTAAGTTTACAATATAATTTGCTTTAGCTGTTGTTTATATGCTTTTTTATTTTTAAATAGTATACCATTTTTAACCTACCCATTTATTCAGTTTTATACATTTTTCACAATTATCTACAATCTTAAAATACTTTATTTATTTACTTTCAGATGCCAAATCTTTTTATCAAGCCCTTGGATTACTCCATTTATCATCCAAATGTAATTTTTGTTAACAATATTAGAGGAATCACTACTGTGTAAGTTGAAAATACAATTTACTGGCTTTTGTAAAATCTTAAAGAGTGTGAGAACTGTGAAGTCATTTTGGAGATATAAACATCTATCCATCTAAATGTTCATATTGATTATATTAAGAAGATTATTTTTTAATAATTACTATTTTTTTTTATTTAACCTTTATTAGGAGAGATTTTTATCTTTAAAAAGACATGCCAATACCACAGTACTGCTCTTAGTGATTAGGAAACAAGCTGAAATAATTGTACAGCCGTGTCGGTAGTAGGCTCAGCCAGTATTAATATAATGATGCCAACATCAGCCAGGTGAAATTTATAAAGTTAAATATATGTATTTTTTCAGGGGTTTATTTCACTATGTAAAGCAGATAGCACTTTTACGTACTGTTGGCCATCTTAAGTTTGCATATGTTAAGTTTGAAGTTATAAAGATAACCGCACATCCCGAGGACTCTTCTATTAAGTAAGTTTGAAACTTTTTTATCAAATAGTTCTTTTAATTACAGTTATTTCTTCACTTTGACGTTAAATTTGATATTACAAATATATTGTACTAAGAATTTATCTCTGGGTTTACTTGTAATATGTTAAAAATATGGTAAACTCAAGTTTTATTTAACTAATTAAGTTTGTTTAATTTGCATACTCACAAAACAACACCTTATATTGCCTTTTTTATCTGTTTTGCAGAATGAGATGGCGTATCCGAGGTATATCTGGTCTAAAAGTGTTCTTTATGTTCTGGAGATATAAACTTTGGGATTTGAAATCAGCATTCAAGGATCAAGAGATGTAAGTTTTCAATAACTGTGAAACAAAATTGTATAATAATCGTTCTTCTTTAGTACAAATAATTTACATACCAATTTAGTGAGTATTCTTATAGGTGTTGCCAATTTTAGTTAAAGTCTTATTTGACTAGATGTTTTATCTGCATTTATTTTACATTCTTAGATTTTAAGCTAGAAAGACCTATGGGAGACCCCATACTTTCCTGGCCACGCCAATGGTTATGCAAATAGGGTTTTTTATATTTTAATTTATCATTTCTTTTGCAGGTGGTATGATGGTTTCTCAACATTCTATGTAGCAGGAGATGGTCTTATCCAAAAGCATGTAGCTGATAAGGTAATGTTACTTTTAACTCTACCAAATTTAAACTAACTTAAAAATAGAATCATACTTAATAATATAAATGCAAAGTTTAGATGGATAGATTTTTGTTAGACTTCGTAGCCTAAATAGCTAAACGGATTTATGCACACATAGACGATTTTTTTTAATTTCACGAGGATGGAGTCGCGGACGACAGCTAGTATTAAAATATTTTTTATTACAGGTAATGCCTGATCAAGACACAATTATTGATGATGAAGAAAAGGCTCCAATAGCAGCTAAAATAGCATTGCTCATTGGACTTTTACCTAGAAATTATCTGTCCGATGTGTCGCCATATTTCAGCTCATCGTCAGGCACCACGGACATGACTGTGTTGCCATTTAAAGTTCTTGAATAGATATTACGATAAAATCAAGAAATGTGATATGTTGATTAGTATTGTACGATTATGTAAACGAACGAAATAAATCGAAAACTACGACTTTGTCGTAGAATAAATATGATGTAGGTAGTATTACAATATTACTTGTATAAATTAAAACAGCCATGGCTCCGTCACTCCTCAACTTTGTGTTATTTGATTTGTAATATGAATTAACTCACGTTACGGATTATTTTCTTTAGTTGGGACAATGTATTTGAGTATTAGGTGTCGTTATTGCTTTGTAGTCTAGCTTATAGTTGTTATGTATTATGATACAATAAACAATTATTATTAAAAGCATTTTCTTTCATTTCGTCTTAAACTTCATCTTGTTAGTAAAATTTAGAAGAGGAATTTCTATTCTATTTGTTTAAATAAACTTAAATGAACAATTCATCAACAAATCTCTATTAATGGATTGAAACAATCTGGCACGAATTATCATGGCTTACAGCCTATCCATTTATACAGGCCAGCAGTTTGAGAGATCATTGACAACGAAACTCTATCTCTATACTCTCTGCCATGACACTGTCCGTGGCAGTGTTGCCAACGCTACGGGAATTGCCGTGTTCTACGGCTTTTAGGCCAAGAAATCAAAAATCTACAGTAATTCATTGTTTTTCTTTGATAACTTCATATTGGAATGAATTTTAGACGAAAAAAATATCATTGAATAGCAATGAATTCAACCAGGAGTAATGGAATTTAAATTAATCATTTACGCTTAAATTGTCTTGTAACTTTTACAAAACAAAGAAGGACAATTTTAACACATTTCATTGCTGTTAAAAGCTAAAGCAGTGACATTTTCCTGGTGTCCAAAACATTTTAAGTTGTGCTACGGCCCAGGGTTGATTTTTTTCCACACAAACAGAACTTTTAACTCAATGCCCACGGCTAGGTAAATTTTTTATTGGTAACACTGATCCGTGGTTACTTGACTTTTTCGTTTCGACTTCGCACGATAAGATTTGTTGTCAAATATCTGCCTTAAACTGAAAAAGCTCATAAAAATGTACATTTTATACAAACACAAATAAGTTACAAAGTTGAAAAAATATTTATAACTGTATTACTTCATTTAATTCAATTTTACAATTTTTCACTTATGTGTTAAGTGTCTTATAGATTGTAATAAATTGGTGCTATTCAGAAAGATTTGTTAAAGCGGGTGTGTTTTATGTTCCGTTGCTTGCTGTTATGACTACGGTAAGATAATTTTTTTAAATAGTTGTAATCTAAGATCATCTGCGTAGGGTCATCGTTCGGAATAGAGCCTGGGTGGGAGGGAGCCAAAGAAGCAATTGTTTTAATTAATAGTAGCTGCGCTCGGAGAACAGTTAGTGTATGCGACCGAGTGTGCTCTGTTCTCCCAATTTACAGCATGGAATTTTGCCAAGTCGGTCGCCGGTGTCGTAATTTTACGAGTTATCTCTCTTTGAGATGTTAGGAAATGTGTGTAATTCTATGTTAAAAGTGTAATAATTTTCAGAGTGATTTGCTTGTGCTATTTACTCCCAAACATCCTTTAGTGTTTCCATTGTTGGTTTACATTTCCACATTCATTACATTTGTGGTGAGTTTAAAATCATAAAGATTTATTTGTTAATAGAGAGATATCTGAAAAATAACATTATGGATCTACTGGATGTTTCTTTGTTTAAACAAACTATTTTAGTTAAGTTTTATTTATTATGTTAAAATATTGCAGACAGATTTAATCTTCTAATAATACAAGTGTATAATTTTGGATGGATGGGTGTTTGTTAGAGTTTGTTGCCTAAGCACCTCCCTATGTAAAATTTGGCTTAGTTGTGGAGGATAGTCTGGAAGACATATGCTTCATTACATTTTTTTTTAATTCCTTGTGGACAGAATTAATGGTTGAAAGCTAGTCTTTATAAAAAACCTTTAATCAGAAAGAATGTTAATGAATTGTCTATTATTCATTATCTCTGGTTTTTTAAGACTGTTGTAAACATTGAATTGTTACATGAGCCTAATCTCTTAGGAAACCTTATGTTCCTAAATGTTTTAGGAAGTAACCCCAGCTACTCTAACATTACATTTAATCCTTTACCCTATGTTTTCACTTTGGATACAATTTCATTCACTTGTTCTCAGGTATTTTGTTGTATTTTCAAGTATCCATTACTTAACTTAGGGTAGTCTCCGAACCCCTTAGTGGGCTGATATTGAACATTACAAAATAATTACTGAAATAATAATTTATATAGTATAATAATTTATATAGTATAATGTCTCACGAAAGTTTTAATAAGTTAATTACTGAAAGTTGTTTTTATGATAAAAATGAAATAATCAGTTTATTATGAATGTAATATGTAAATGTTTTGTATAAATAAAAAGGTAATATGCCTCAGTCCAATATTTTATTTTTAAATATGTAGCAAACAAAATGTAGTTATTGAACAAAACAATTTGGTAAGTCTGTTTTTCTGAAACATTGTTAACCTTTTTCAATGTTGAAGTTATCATTTTTTAAAAAAATAATTGCAAATAAAGTTTTTCTTAATATCGAAGAGCTGAAAACTTGTTATTTTGGTCATTATTTCTGTTAATTAGTTTAAAGAGGAAGTGTAATCAATATTCCATTCAATTAATTTAAATTAAGTCTTATCAGAAAAGGATGTAAACATACCAATATTATGCCTAAATAAAATATTATCTTTGTTATTGTTATGAACTTGAATAAAGCTTTGCATATGTGGTGAAAAACTAAAGAGTTTTATTTTCTAAGGACTTTTTAGTAAAGATAAATAAAGTTTGTGATGACATTTCTTTGATTCTAATAAGATTTGTCCATTGCAGGTGCTACTCTGAAGACTGATACAGCATTAACAAGTGTAATATGAGAATGAGGTGAAGATGTCCAAGGTGCTGTCAGCGCTAGGTGGCGCGCTGCCCGACGAGCGGCCGCTGCTCTCCCTGCAGATAGTGGAGAGCGTCGCCAAGTGTCCCACGGGATACTGGCCAGTCAGTAGAACGTATGATGAAGATGCTGATGCAGGTCTTCTACGCCAGAATGGACTGTTCGGCAAGAAACCCAGTCACTACATCTGTCTGTCCAAATCTGAAGGTAAGTCTGGTAATTGTTGCTGTCAAAACTCCCAAGATCTTATGTGATGAGACGCGCGTAGGATCACTTACTAGGGAACACTTTGGGTAGACCTAAGTAGACTGATACTTGTTTTTTATGGCCGGTTTCCCAGTTACTTTTAACCTATAATTAGTGTCTTTGGTACGATAACTTAATCGTATGCGTTTCCGAACTGCGTAATTTGAGTTTTCTCCTTTGAAACTCAGTTCCACCTAAAGTAGTAATTCACTAGATAATTATAAAATAAATGGAAACTTCAGCAACCTAGAATTAATGTTGAAAATGTTATGCAAAATGCACATATTTAAAGTATATGAAAATAACTTCGGTGTATTTTTCGAATTAGGACAAAATACTATAAAAATAACTCCAGTGCAAAAGATGCTTAAACATTGAATCCCTTATTAGCAGAACCGCCTACAACATACTTTCTAAATTTTCTAACCTACTTTTACCGATCGACTTATTACATTGATAACATGTATATGGCCTTTCATTGATACAATTGATTTAGTTTTTTTTTATTTAAAGTGTATTTAGCCCGAGAATAGATAAGTAATATATAGTTGCCATCAACTCAACCATTTATGCCTATATTCATGTCATTGTGGTCAATAAGACAATTTTTTTATGATACTCTATGACAATCGCAGCATTCACCTTGCAGGATGGAGTAATTGTTAACTGCAGTTTTATACTGGCCAGTACTAAATGCTTTTTGCAATGTCCGATATGCTTGAAAAGTTTAAAAAAAAACAGAGGAATTGAGAAGCTCTTCCTTTTTAGATGTTTAATTATTTGTTTCCGGAAGTAACTGTGAAAACTTTACAATGAATGTAATGGAAAATTTACTTTCAAGTTTCTATTTATATTTTGTGACTAATTTTCGAGTGTTTTCCTTACATCTAAACGATTACTTTGCGGATTTCTTTATGCATTTGGTTAAATATGTCCTTCAGTAAGATAAAATGCAAAGTTAAAATTATTGACAAAATAATGGTACTTGTTTGGTAGAAAAATTTCGCTGGATAAATAATGTTTTTGACCGTTTGTCTTCGAGAAGTTATTTCTTGTTGAGATTTAGTGTTCCTTAATAATGGAGAGAAAGTATAGGAAGTATGTGTTTTAAATAAATAAAGCATATGTAATACAATTTTTCATTGTCATACGTCGCCTTTCGCTTATCGTGTTATCTGTATGAAATAATGAATCACAATTAAAGAAATAGTGAATCAGACAGACAAATAGGTATTCGTCATATTCTTAATGTACTTTTAAACAAAACTTTAATACCTCAATGATTATCTCAGGTCCATGACCGCGGTGTCAATTTTTTCCTATCAACATGAACATCAAGTTAGCATATTTTTGTCTGTGTGCTTACCCTGTGTCTACAATGACCCGGCGTGTACCGGAAGCAGGGCAATTGTCGATATAATGAAAGTTAATGACGTCATCTCATAAAAAAATACGCTTCGCTTTCATTAGTCTCGAAGGTCGGGATGTTTCTTATGATATAACGCTGTATTCACACCGGACAAAGAAATGTTTTGTAATAATCGTGTGAACCTTTGTTTTTACTGTTTACTCTATTGTGTGGTTAATTCTTTGTATTTACATTGAATGCTTCTTAAGTATATTTCCGACTTTGTTATAAGTGATATGGAAAACAATTATAACAGACGATGGAGGTACGTCGTGTCTGCCTACCTCTACGATTTACTGGCGTGATTATACTTTACTTTATAATGACTACTGCTTATCATCATATATTATTCATGAATTTCCTTATTTAAGCTTCAAATCGTAATGTGAAAATTAACATTTTGTACTTTTTTGTTAACACTTAAAATATACCGTAGTTTAATTTGAATGGTGTTAACTTGAGTATGTTTTTATTGTGAACACGATCTTATCATAACGGTGTTCGGTTTGGGCACAATGAACTGTGTTCGTCTCTCTCAATTATTTTTAGCTTTTGAAGAAATTGGACGCAATAACGGGACACCCATATTACTTGTTCGCGTTTGATTTGGTTTTTATGGTCACTTGCTTTTTACGGATGACATAGTAATAAAAAATGGTATGAAATTACCTGTAGTACTAGGCAAGCATAACCAAGTGGGTACTCTGTTCTCCATTGATATATTTGTGAATAGATAGTCGATGTCAGGGCTACTAGCATTCGATTTGCGTCAAGCTAAATTAGTTATTGTAGGCCGAGGTCGTTTAAAGCCTCTGTTTCTTAATTGAATGCCATTGATCGTTGCACGCTTCAACGGTTACATTGATTCGTACAGATCTTAGTATGTTTGTGTTTTATTTAATATCCTGTGCGAAATTCCACTACCCAAACACTTTAGTAAACCACTAGCTTTCGCCCGCGACTCTGTCAGCGTGGAATAAAAAATCGAAATTCGTAGCCTATTTGTTTTTCCAGACTATCCTCTGAATCAATACCAAATTTTATCGAAATCCGTTCAGTCGTTTAGGCTACAAACTCTGACAAACATCCATCCATCTAAACTTTCGCATTTATAATATTACTATGATAGTTGTGGTCTCTTATTCAAAGAGAGTGAGCGAGATGATATGATTGTTATACAAGTAGCAGATGGTGCAATTAGTTCGTGCAAATGTTTGTTACTAAAGCTTACAAATTACAAAATACGCGTACGCTCCAATGTTTTTTTTAATAAAAATTTACTGTACTTTCTACGGTGTTCAATAACTTACGATATGGATAACTCAAGTACAACCGGTGTGCCTTCACGTCTAGAGAGCCCATTGTTCTAATGCTGCTCGGATGGTCGGTCAAGTCTTGATTATTAAATTACATCGCTATACAAAACCGGTCATTGGCGTGAGAAGACAATGAGATCCGTTTTAACATTGCTTGTTCGTTGTTTACATACCAGTTCGAGAGAATTCAAATCCAAGTGTTTTCACTTACGAAAATGCAATGAAAGCATGTAATTTTACTTAACTGATATGTTGGAATTTCAATGTTTGAAGTTTAACATTCGCTAGAGTTATTTCAAAGACAAAACTTGTAATTGGATAAAAATTAAAAAAAAAAAATTGGCATTATCTGGGCTAATTAGAATCATATTATACAATGAATAAACAGATTACCAATGTGATGTAATAGTTGAGATGTTTAGAAGAGGTTTTCCTACTTTCTCCTAGAGTTCAAGGTCGACTAGATGACTTTGAGAAATGACTGTGCAACAAGGACCGTTAGATATATTACTATTCTCCTTAGGTTAGTTATCTAATGGGTGATCGATTAGAATTTCCCATATCATAGTCTATTCAAGGTCTTTCTTAGTGGTCCTATGTCTTCGAATGTGGAAAGTAAGTTTATCGTGTGTCAGGTGTGCCAGGGTACGTGATGGACGGCGTGCTGGTAGTGGGTGAGCGCGAGGCGGCGCCGGCGGGATACAGTGTGGCGGGGCGCGCAGGCAAGCGGCGGCTTTGCACACGCGTGTCTCGCCACGCCGCCGCGCACCACGCACACCATGCGCCACCCGTTACCGACGTCATCGTCTGCTCCAAGATGAGACAGGCGCCGCGAGGCTTCCTACTCGCTGGGTAAGTTCCGATAGCTACTGTAATCTAGCATAGCCTTCTGACCAGTATAGGTTACCAGGTACCCAGGGCGTCATAGGTCTGAATTACGCTTACAAACTTTTCTGAACACTCCCTGACCACTTGCCCAAAGCGCTAGGAGAGATAAGACCGGCACTGCTTCTGACGCAGGAACCTCAATAGTAATAGAATAGTCTTCATATACTTACTGCAATATTATTCTAAAATCTTCTCTTCCTCCGTTCACTTCCATACCTTACACGACCAGAAAAGATAGAAATAAAAATCTGGAAAAATAATATCCTAGAGTTAGGCAGTAAGTTTTCTGATATAGTAGTCTTTGTCTCAATCTGCAGATTCAATAATCTTAAAATCAATGAGACGACAAAGAATCGAGACAGTTGAACGAACTCTAACAAATCGCGGTATGCTCGAGACTGCACTGACTTGACCTCGGTAAAATCTTAACGTTTTCAAAGAAAACTTAATTTGAGTTAACTGAACACTGCAATATGTTTCTTTGTAGCTTTAATGTATTTTTAGAATCGCTCATACTTAGTAATAATCTAAGTGTAGTAAAGCATTTAAAATGTTATTTAAGCCGCAATCCTTGCTGTCTGCTACAATTCAATTGATCAAGCATAAATAATACAGTCACGTAGTGATGTCATGCAATGTTATTTTTCCTGTCTACATAAAGGCGGAAATCTTTGATTACAATCTTTTTTCCAAATTAAATTCTCACTATTTAAACTAATTCTACAACTAAACTAAATTACTTCTAATGGGATAGACTGGGAATATTCCAAACCGTCACCCCGCTGTCCCCACGTGAGAATAAAAAGTATCATCCATCCCACCTTTTAACCTCACTATCAACAATAAGGTGACAGATAAAAGCGTTATGAAATAAAATAACTTCCAACCGTTCCCTCATCGCGAAAGGTGGGACGGATGAAACTTTTTATTCTTATCTATCCCCACGTAGGGACAGAGCTGGTTGACTCTATAGAGTGCAGTTACCTACCATGTAAAATTACCACTTACCATGTAAAATGTAAAACTCGTCAGATTTCGAGCGTATGCTATTGATATGACTTTTCTTTGCAACTGATTGATAGCTTGGACTATAAAAAAAACACGAAGTTTTATTATTTCTTTTGGTTTTGGTTTATCAGTGAGATGAATGGCAAGATGGTGTGCTACAAGGTGTGCGGCGGCAGCGCGGACACCTCCCCAACCGGACCTAATGACTACGAGAATATCGTCACTAACCTCACGCCAGACGCCAACAGGAGGTAAACCATATATTACTTTGTAATCATTTCATTACACCCTTGTTCATGTCATCTTTTATCTAAAGTTATTTATAGTAAGAGAGTGCACATCTTTGACTGAACTATCGCACAACTGTTGTGCGATTGTCTTGTTTCGCAGCTAATTCAACTGTTTAGTCGCAAAACTAAATATCGAGTAGTGTGCGCACCATATAAGGTCATAGGAATCAAAGCGCGGCTAAACAGTTGTTCAATAGTTTAGTTTTGGGTGAGTGCATATGTACTGTGCATTCAATACCGGTGATAGGGTAGGGGAAGGACCGCGTGGTGCGCATTTATCGACATTTTTCGTAAAAATGTCAGCACTCGAGTTGATTCCGTTAATAAAATTCTATTGGTCACAGGATCTTGTATGAAATTTCAGTTCAGTGACAGTAAAACTGTATCAGGAGCTGAAATTACGATGGGATGGCTGTACCGGGTACACTCGTTTGTTTGAATATCATTTTTGCATGGGTTTCCTTCGACTTTTGCATGACGTCCGGTACACTCAGCTCCATAAATATCTTAACACTCAAAGTTTAGAAACTTGTATAGGCTTACGGATTCAAAAATACTTATTCATCAATGGATATTTTTTTTTATAATATAAGGTGGCAAACGAGCAAGTGACCACCTGAATCCACCGAAGTGAAAAGTGACCGCTGCCCATAAACATCCGCATTTGCAGATGCGTTACCTACCCTTAATTGACGGAGAAGGAGACGCACATAAAAAGGACATTTCCTCTTCCTATGCGTCTTCTCCACTGTCAAATACACTTTTCCTTCCCATCATTTCCTCCTGAAAAAAGGGTGGAAAGGGAAAGGGACTAAAATTAGGCCTCCGACACCACACTCATCAGACGCGGAATTGCTTCCACTTCACGGCTGTTTTCTGTGTGGTCGTGGTTACACCGGGCGAGCCGGCCCATTCGTGCGAAGATGTTAAAGCGGGCTCTACCACTGTTATGATACTTACATTTGAAACCATAGCATTATTTTGGAAACCAAATGTTTATACTAGTTTTTACGACTTTGTACTTGCATAACTTTTTATGGAGCTGACTGTACATATGAACTTATACATATTGTATTTGTTATTTTTGAAATGTTTTTTCCGGTTTGAGTTTTTTTAATTAATTCGTACCAAATTATATTGTGATTTTAAATCATATAGGTATATAATTCGTAATATAAGCTAGTTGTTTATGAGTGCAGGTACGTTTGCGTGTGCTGTGATGTAATTTATGTGTACGGGTGATAAGGAAAATTGGAATATTCGCTTTGAGCCCATCAGGAGTTTGTCCCTTCTCTATTTTAGTCACTCTGAAGGAAGAAGACACACTAAAAAGTCTACTTATTTTAGCATCTTACATGACTCGGATGTCAGCCACATTTGAATCTTATAGCCGATTAATGAAACGACATTTAAATGCCTAATTTTAGTCCCTTTTCCTTTCCACCCTTTTCTTAAGAGGAAAGGATGAAAGGGAAAAGTGGATTTGACTGTGGAAGAGACGCATAGAAAGGGAAAATATCCTCTTTATGTGCGTCTCTTCCTCCGTCAATGAAGGGTAGGCAGCGCATCTGCAATTGCAGATGCCTATGGGCAGCGGTCGCTTTCCATTTCGGTAGATTCAGGTTGCCACCTTATATTATAAAAAAATTATTAGTGTCTTTAATGATAAGAACAACTCAAACTCAAAGTAGTGTAAATTTTGACGCCTGGCAGTTTTAAGCGACGCGTACGAATTATTTATTCTTTTAACTACAGATTACGTCCAGCTCCCGAACGTCCTCCCAAATTGTCACCGCTAATCAACGAACTCAACAATTTAAATCTAAAATCTCCTAACGCGAGTATCGATGAATTAAAAACTGACCACGACTATGAAGCCTTAAGTCCATCGTACAACGTGAAGCCAGCCAGGCCCGCCCCCCTCCAGCCCCCGATCCCGCCGCCGTTGCAGCCCCCGCGCGCCATGTCGCCGCAACAGGCCGCGAGGGCGAAGTCCCCGGTGGGCAGCCCCGGGCCCACCTCGCCCGCGGCTGTGGGCCGCCGGAAAGGCCCCGCGCCCTTGCCCAGGACCTCAAACTACCAGACCTTAGGGGGATATAACGGAATGGAGGGCGTACCGTTTGTACTGAATCCGAAGCTCAGAGGACTACCTAGTGATGAATTGGTGAGTTTATTTTTTATAAATACTCAACTAATGAGGGTAGTTGTTGAATTATAAAAATATTTTCAGACTCAGTTGCCAGTTATAAAAAAGCGAACTCGTTTTGAGCTCGACCGTGACTACAGCTACAGTTTCGCTGTGGAGAGACAGACGTGAGATATGTCGTCACCAAACCTTCATCCACAGTAATAGTTGGTTGTAAAACCTAATTCTTTCTTCTTAGATTGTATTAGAATTTAAGTAGGAAACGAATCGGTACTACTTTTCTGTTTCTGACGTTTTTCAATTAATGAAATGATTTCTATCCACTTTAGATTTTGACTTTTGTTTTTTTAAAAGATTCAAATTGACAAGTTGCCATTACAATGTAATTAATTTATTTTTATTTCGTGTACAAATTAAAGTTAGATGGTATTCCAATTTATTATATAACCTAATTATTTAAAGAACTAAAGATTGATAGGTTTTTGGATATTCCTTAATTATGGAAATTTTGATTCAATTAATTTTTAGGTTACAAGTTAATTGTGAATTTTCAAGTAATGAAATTATGTATGTGCGTCGTAATTTTTTGTTAAATGTATTTTGCCATATTGAGAAAACTAAATGTGAGATTATCAATAATTTTATATTAAGTTCTAATTTTATATTTTAACTCTAAAATTGCAATTAGAATTTTTTTAAGTAACGTTAGCATATCGTTTTGTAACAATAAATGACTGAGGAAGTGTTGTACTTGTAGTGTTGGCTTCCATAGACGATGTATTCATAACATGCAATATTGTTGTTTCCCTCATTCTGTCTTGTAAAAGTGAGATAACAATATCTATTGTTTGCATATCTCCAATGGAAGCCTACTGTTGATGGGTCACGTGTAAGACTGATACACGAATTATATGTGAAAGAGATGGAATAATGGGAAGTGTGAAGTGTGAAAGAGAAGGAATTAATCTAATATTTCTTATTAGAATATTTGGATAGGTTACTTTATTCGTAACTAAATAAAAATGGGACCTTATTTTTTGTTTAATTGACTATTGCTTTGTGAAATGGCGATGTATTTTGCAACAAATGCAATTAATTTAGTCTTTTCTTTGTGAAAATAAATTGATATATCTTTTTGTTATTGAGAAGATGTTTCTTAATATATGATTTTATAGATGCAAGTAAACGGATTTTTACAAATTCTGATGTATGTCAAATATCTTTTCTTTAATGGTAATTTTTTAAATGTAGTTTTAAATTGTGCTGCCAATTTTACAATTCTATTGTCAATTATTTTTACACTTTTAAATTTGTATACGTCTTATTGCTATACATATATTGTTTGTGCCAATGCAAGTACAAGTTTGTAAAAGTTACCGGACATTTTGTCTGTTTTACAACTAGTCGAATGAAGATCAAATTTTAATTGTCATTTTTCACTGTCGCAAAACCCATATTGTTTTTTTTTTCAGGGTGTTTTTTTACAATCATAATTATATATAATTGTCCAACAAATAAAGGCTGAATATCAAATTTGTGAAATCATCTCATTATTTTTTTTTGATGCGTACAGTGTTGATGTCGCAAACATTTTTTTCTTTTTTTTTTTTTATAAGCAATTTTGCTTATGCTGACAGATAATGCCACATGGTAATAAATAATATTGATTTAAATGGATTTTTAAAGTTATTTTCGTCTTGAGATGAGCTTATAAATATCACTGCTCAAATGTTTTTTCACCTTTTACCTAATTTAAGATATTTGAGTGTGATATAATCATAAATATTGAAAAACTGATTTAGCACATGTATTTGCAAAAAAGTTTAGTGTTTTTGTCGTTGGCTTTCTCGCACAAATTATGAGTCAACGTTCAAAGGTGTTCTACTATCCTAAGATTTTTTATAATATAAACAGTTGTTTTTTGTAAATTTCAACATTTTGTTTAGGTTTTCAATTCATATTAGCATTGAATAGCAAATATCTGAAAGAAAATCGCAGAATAATTGCCGTAATAGTTTATTTAAGACAAATATTGTATATTACGTTATCTATCTTTAAGTTTTATAATGACCGCCATTTTTATGTGTCTGAAGTTTCGGAATTTTGTACGTGACAGTGAGAGCGAGACAACACATAGACCGATAAGTGCTAGAAAGGGACAGGATGATGTTTGAAGTGTCAATAATGGATTTGACTAACTTCAGACCTGTGAATAAATTTGGTGGATACTGTACACATTACCTACTAGCAATAATTTTGTTTGGAATGCACGATACAAACTGTTATACTGACTTGCGTTTATATATTATACGTTAATTTTATTGTTAACTAGCTAAATTAGTTATATAAAACCTCGACTCGCAGTAATGTTGCGTTCAAGTGTGTTTGAGTCACTCGCAATGTAAATATGTTTAATGCAATTAGTAAATACGCTTTTTTACATATTAGATACATTCGTATCCCGTAATTATTATTGTTTAGAAATATGAAGGCAGAATAAATTTAAATTATTGACATTTTGTTGTTTTATTTTCTTTGTCATAACCTCAAAACAGAATAGGTTAGTTGATTTCCCCTGTTCCTAGTTCCTATCCAAAGTTACCTCACCAGTAAGGAAGAAAATATTTTTTGCGCTGTTTGGTAACTAGTTGTGAAAGGGGAATATTTTTTTCACTTATGTAAACGGTACAGAAAGTATATGTTTTTTTATTTTATGGTACAGACAGAACGTAGTCGTGATGTGAGAGGAATTCTGCATTCATTTGATGTGTGCGTGCTGGGGGTTTTTCAGTCTCTTTCGCTTTGCACCCTTTTCTTATGAGAAAAGTATGGTAAGGGAAAGTGAATATGACGGTGGAGGAGACGCATAAAAAGGAAAAATATCCTTTATTTCTGCGTCATCTCATCCGCAATGTTGATGTTAGGAGGTCGCTTGCTCTTTTGTCACCGTATAAAAAATTAAAGAGTGAAATTGGCCGTGTGGTTTCAAAGTGCCGGCATTATGAAATTGTGAAAATCGCGGGCAAACGTAAAATGTCTAAGTTCGAATCATTTGCCATAATCATTTTAACATGTGATTGATTGCATGAAACTAGCAAAGTGTAGCAACAAAAGTAGCACAAAAACTTGATTGATTACGAAAGTGGAAAAAACATTCTCCTTTCACAACTAATTACCAAACAGCGAAAAATATTCTTTTTTCCTAACTGTTGCGGCAACTTTAGTCATGAAAAGGGAACGAGGGGTTTATTTAAAATTATTTTTATTTTTACATACTCGTGTGATGTTAGAACAATTGTAGGGAATGTGAAAAAGAAAACAAAAGTTTCAACGTATAACAAAAATAACTTTATTACAAAATTACACAAAGTTTCCTTCAATTTACTTCCGCTTAGTAACAAATTTTCTACAAGAACTTTCGTACAAACATCTACAACAAAATTTGGTACAATTTATTGTTTAATAGCACTAACTTTGAATTAAAACACTTTTTAAATAAAATGAGACATGGTTTCGATACTTTTGTTAAGACTGATCACCTACAATGCGAATAAAAGCCAATACAATGTTTTCTTTTATATACGTTTTCAAGAAAGCTTTGCAGGACTCTTTGGGCATTGTTTCAATAGTCGACAAATATTATAAATCGTGCTGGCTGTTCCCATATACGGGCTAACGACCAATGAAAATAGTCGATGTAAAACAAGCATCGTGTGGGAACTCAGATGACGAGTACAATGCGGACAAACGACCATTGAAACCCTCTAAACTTTGGTTTTCTTAAAAAACAGATTATTATTGTCGAGTTGAATTACACTGAAATTAATAAGATCGTTAAAAATAGTTTAAAACCACAATAAATATATATAATTTAACTGTTAATTTTGTTATAAAATAATTAATTATGCCAAATACTATGATTTGTTTTAAGATATAAATATTTGTGATGTTTGACGATTGGTTACTTTGAGATTGTGATGGAAATATTGTAAAACAAAATATAATTTAATTTACAAATTACACTAAATAGTTATTTGTTTCGAAGATGTTACAATAATATACAAATGCCTAAACGCCATAAAAATTTAAAACACAAAACAATTTTAGTCGATCGTATAAAACATTTTACTATTTTTGGTTATGCAGTTTTGTTACATATTTACATACATTTTACTACCAACATTAGAACTTGCTAAAGCTAACTCTCCAAGGTCAAGAAAAAAATCACACTAGAGAGAGACGAACGCATACAAGACTTATAAAGTGCGACAGAGAAATAAGACATGCCAACAGACTGTCTCTTTCCAATTGTAGAAACATTTAAATTCGGAACAAACATTGCCAACATTAAAGATTTAAAAAATTCTCTGCATTACTCAAACTAAGAAAATCAGTATTGATTTTATTTATATAAATGCCTTTGAATAGTACTTTATAAAGATGATTTAAATTGGACTTGTTCAAAACAGATAAAGGTTTATTTGTATAAAATGGTGGCGACAATCACAAGTATGACATTGGTTAAATTTTTATTTGTGTAACAAAGTGATGCGTTCACTGCGGCTTAGTTGGCGGCTGCATCTGCTTCTGTTGCTCCAGTAGACGCTCCAGTGGGGAGGGGCCCGGACCCGACCACAACGACTGTAAAATAATGTACAAATTGTTCACAACTTATAAAACAAACTTCCACTAAAAGAAAGAAAATCTATCAAAAATAGTTTTTAAATACTGCAAGTCTTGAATTAGTTTGAAATATGTCGTGATGAAACCTGCACATATCGGCGAAGAAATCCAAAGATATGTTGATCACATTACGGAGACGTTTGCAAGAACATTCGTGCTAATCCCTCTGTTGTGTAGTGTAATGTAATGTAATGTAATGTAGTGTAGTGTAGTGTAGTGTAGTGTAGTGTAGTGTAGTGTAGTGTAGAATAGTGTAATGTGGTGAGTGTTACCTGGTGCGGGTGTCGCTGCGGCCAGGCGGCGGGCTCGGGCGCAGCGCTGAACAGCGAGTACGTGTTGCTCGCGCTGCCCCCACCCTCGCCCTCGCACCCCTGCAACATCACATAATATAACAACACCGAGTATATTTTTACGAATCTAGCATTTGCACGCGATTTCGAGGTATTAAAAAAAACAAAATTTGTAAGTACTAGTTATTGGTCGTGAATTCGTCCACGTGAAATTTAAAAATGTAGCCTATGGTACTCAGCAAACATCCATCCATCCATTGGCATTTATAATATTAGTATAGAGTATAAATATATTTGTATTCCGACCTGTTCTAATGCATTAGCAGCGGCCATATCCTGGTTGATATAGTTCACATTCCTCTGCTGCATATCCATTACATTTGCCCCAAAGTTGATATCATCCATGTCTTTGC